GACAATGGAATACAGCTCAGCCATAAAAAAGAATGAAATCCTATCATTTGCAACAACATAGATGAGCCTAGAGGACATTATGTTATATAAAATAAGCCAGAAACAGAAAGTTAAACGCTACATGCCTCACTCAAATGCAGAAGCTAAAATATATTGATCTCATAGAAGTAAAGAGTAAAGAAGTCCCAGAGGCTGGGAATGGCAGGGGAAAGGGGGGATACGGAGAGATTTATTAAAGGAAACAAAATTACAGCCAGTTACAAGGAATAACCTCTAGTGTTCTATATCACTCTAGGATGACCATAGTTAACATTAATATATATTTTCAAACAGCTAGAAGAAAAATGATATTGAACATTCCCAACAGAAAGAAATGATCAGTATTTGAGATGCTGGATATGCTAATTACCTTGATCAGATAACTATACATTGAAACATCACTATGTACCCATAAAAAAACGGAAATATGTGGGTATATATATATGTGTGGGTGTAACTATTATGTGTCAATTTTTAAAATAAAAATATTTAAAGGTTTTATTTCAGAGCAGTCACAGAAGCTTTTTCTACTCCCAACTTGGATCTTGAACTGTGACTTTAAATTCCATCTTATCATTTTCTTTCTCTAAGTTCTTCAGCACATTTAGAAGCAGTGAATCAACTCCATAGTCAGTATTCTCTTTGTTTGTGAAAAGGATCTAATGCAGCAGATAATAACTCTGCACATTGCCTCTGTAGCCACTTGGATTATACAGGCACTAGGGGTGACTGTAGGTGAGAATTTAAATAACTGTTGAATCCCACTTACCCCTGGCAATAGGGTCATTCGTGTCTTTAAATCTAGTCTTTAAATGTCTTTAAATCTAGAGAACACATTTCAAATTTTATTTTTAAAGTTCTGTTTCCTGGAAACATTTCTAGTTGGTTCAGTCAGCAGAGCAGTTCCAGAGGGTTATAGGATAATGTAGTTGAGCTCACACAACTGTGAGAGGAGATGGGAAACTGAAGGGCTGTAAGAGGAGTTGGAGGATTAGAGGAGTCACCAGCCAATCAATCCAAGGGGCAGGCACAGCCAGCTAAGAAAAACTATGAAGGGGTAGTCTGCAAGGAAATCTATGGGATGTTGTTGCCTCTGTGTACTTTCCTTCTTTATAGGTTCACAACCAACATCTGGTAGTGAATCTGACTTTTCTGTTGGTCAACAGGACCAACAGTTGGAAAGAAAAAACGGGTCTGGAGCTCAAGAGAGCAAAGTCAAACTGGAATCTGCCAGGCACATACACCTCTGTCACTGCATCTGACTAAAAGAGAGTTGCAGGTTAATGGATACTGTTTCAATTTGGCCTTCAGAATCTCAAGGAAGTCCCTCTTCTGGTCAGTTCTCACCTAGAATCACACAGGGAAGGGGTACTCTGGGAAACATAATTGAATTTTTAAAATATAGATTGTTAATATGACTTTAATTTTTAATTTTTCCTATTTTGCTTTTATAGCAGTTTTACCTAAAGTGAAAATACATGTTCATATCCACTCTCAAAATAACAGCAAACACTTTTAGTACTTAATATGTGCTGAGCATTCTGTTGGCCACTATACATATTAAACCTCAGAGTAACCTTTAAGATATCAATATCTTTCGTTTTTAGCTGAGGAAACTGAACCTCAGTGAGACTCAGAATCTTGCCCAAAAACACAAGTTAGTGGGATGTATAGAGGCTCCCTATTACGTAAATACTGTACATTCAATTATTCTAATTGCCACTCTTATTTACCAATTTCGAAAACATAAGAAAGGCGCAGGATTTATATAACCCAATCACAGTCTTGCTTTTTAATCAAAACTATGCAAATAATTTCTAAATTATCTCAGTTTGATGAACCTCGACAGCGCATCTGATCATTGTACAGGCACTGGAGCTGGAAATACCTTCAGATGTTTCCACTGGCTTTTGGTAATCTTGAAAGCTAGAAAGAAAAAAAAAGAGAGAATAAAAGGGGAAAATGTGAATTATTAGGTTGGTGCAAAAGGACTTGCAATTACTTTTAGTGGCAAAAACCACAATTACTTTTGCACCATCCTAATAATATATAAACAGTTTTGCCTAGTGAAGCCATATTTAATTGTATTTTTCCAATTCTTGTGGTTCAGAAACAATTACTATGGATGCAAATTCATCCATGGGAAAATGATACTGTATTTTTTTTTTAAATGCTGTAAAGAAAGAGCAAATGATTAGTTGCATGGTAGGAGTTAAGAGGCCTCAGATATCCATATTCCCATCAGACTGCTCTTCCAATATAGTAACTGTTTAATTATGTGTTTATACCCTATGTCACTCTTCGACAAAGCTATTATTGACAATAAGGCACTAGAAATCCTAACCCAGTATTTTTAAAAATTATGATCAAGTAACTTATTTTTTAAGAGTTAATAGGAAAACAATGAAGGAGATGTTATGTGATCAGATAAATTTTGAAAATGTTAGAGTTAACAAAACAGAATCTCTCCACCTTCAAGATGAGCTTATGAACTATAAACTACCAGAAGAGAATTATATAGGATGTCATTTTGGGCAATGGAATCCTTTTTCACAGAGTATGGTTGGAATACAGATTTAAAAATGAAGCACCAAGGCATTTGTTAAAAGTTTAACTGGATTATCAATTTTCAATCATAGTTAAGTCCTAATAGAATGGAAGAGACAACAGCAACCATTATTTATTGATCAAGGGGCTTCATTAGGGTCTTCAGACATGACTCATTTGGAAGAGGGCATGTTATAGTACTGCTCTTTCGTGAAGTATCCTTTAGTGTAAAGGCCCTTAAAACAAAAATTTGAAGTACAGTATCAAACAAAAGATGAGAAGATGAGAGGATAAATTATCACTGTAAGGTTTCAAAGGAGAGAAAAGTTATACCTACTAGGGAAAATATGTAAAGATTTTGCAAAAGGCTAGGTATCAGTGATGACCCATGAATGATGATTAGGAGGTAGTCAACAGCTACGGATGGGAAGGAATGTTTCTAGGCAGTAGAGCTGGCATTAGCAGAGACACAGGTTCTCACTTATAAGTGAGAGCTAGGAAATGGCTACACACGGATATAAAGATGGAAACAACAGACAGTGGGGGTTTTACAAGGGGGAGAAAGGAAGGGGGCCAAGGGCTGAAAAACCACCTACTAATACTATGTTCACTATTTGGGTAATAGGTTCACTAGAAGCCCAGACAACACCATTATGCAATATACTCATGTAATAAGCCTGCACCTTTACCCTCTGAATCTATACTTTAAAAAGTAAAAGTTTGATTTCCTGATTGTCAGCCAGGTAGGCTACCTACAGGGATAGCAATGAGAAATAAGAATTGATGGTTTGGGGGTAAAGGCAGACAAAGGATGGTGGGAGAAGATGAAGACTAAACTTGTAAGTAGAACAAGACAGTATTGAAGCCTTGGGCAACTAGGGAATGACAGAAGTATTGAAAGGAAGGACGCCTAAGGAAAACTGAAGGCTCATACCACCTACCTCATGCTTTGGCTAAGGAAAAAGCCTAATCAAATATATTTGGATCTAGGTTCTGTGTTTCTACTTGCCAATATAGAAAGCCAAAGACAAGTAAATTTCTTCTTGAAGGTGTGTGTTATTCCCCAAAGAATCTTTTAGGAAGAGCAAGCAGCCTGAGAAATATTTGTTCATTAGATATATTCTGGCAGCAAGCAGGAAAATCCAGAGAGTACCAAGCACATGCACATACACATAATACACTTGATTCTTGAAACACTTGTGGTTTCACTGTTTTGTTATTAACTGTCATTATGAAGTACCTATTACTTTCTCTAGTAAATGCATTTATAAAACCATCCAAACCTATTTAAATATTGTAAAATAGTGAAAGAATTTGGGTCCAAAACATTCTCAGAGAAAAAGTTAACTGCTTAGTTCAGTTTTACAACTATAAGTAGGGCAGATATTTTTTTAACACACCCCCTCATGTTTATTGCTGTGAAGAAGATAAGTACTCTCCAGTGTCTTGCTTGATTCAAGAACATCCTGGCTGCTGACTCTTGTAAGCTGTATGGCACTCTTCTGAGATCTAATGCTGATACATTCCACATGTAACCCCACTGCCCCTGGAAGAGAAACTTTCCTGCTGAGTCAGAGGGGTTTATAGAGATGCGAAATAACAGACAACCTATGTCCTTTAGAAACTGCTAATATATCTATCCTTTGCGTTCTCACAAGTGGGAAAGTTTCTGCTCCCTCCAGATGGAAATCCATACTTTCTCAGTGAGAAGTATGGGTCACCTAAAGCAGAGTACCTTGTAAAGAGAGAACATATCTCCATTAAAGTCATCACAACTTGCTGACTGGCTACAGCTGCCCACAGACTCACTCCCACCACCTTGGCTCTCTTAACAGCAGATGGGTTCACTTAGAAGAGCGTGTCATCCAAATCCAGCCGCCTTGTTTTTTGGGCGGTCCAAACGTGCCGTGTGAACACCAAAGCACGTTGTTAAGAGCGTATACAGCTGGGAACAGAGTCAAGGGGACCTAAGATAGTGAATGGGTCAAGGTAGTAGACTGGGCACTACATTACTGTAGCAAACTATAAAGCAAATTCTTGCCATTTCCCTCCCCGTAACAAAGCTGACAACCTAAACCTGGTTAGGTTTCACAAGAGTTGAGGCTCTGGGAGTCAAAACATGAGAAGAAACATAATCCCGAGTATCACATGTGAGGCTGCGGAGGCACGGCCTGGTCAGCTGTGTTAGCTCAGCAATGTTCAAAGAGAAAAATCAAGCACTGTCTCTCTATACGTGACTGTTTCCTGTGCTCCACATTGCGGGTTGGAACACTGAGATTCTGGCAGCCTTTATTCAAACAATAGTTTCCCTTAAATTGTTATTTCTAACTCTGAATGAAGAGACATCCAGTGCTACACATATCTAATTCTGTCATCCTATTAATTTTAATGAGTACAGCCCCATCTGTTCCAGTCAAGCACCCTCAGTGTACATGTGTGTGAGAAAGGTAGGGCAGTGTGCTGCTTTGTTTCTTCGTCCCTGTGCATTGACGTATCATTTTGAGAGCAGTGACTGTGTGCAGCTGAGAGGCCTGGTTTCAGATGCCGGTCGGAGCATCCTCAGGCACATTAATAATGGAGGAGTCTGACAGGAGCAGCTTTGCCTGCCTTTGTTTTCCACTGTAGGTGAAGGGAGACATGGATCTCTCTGTTTTGCCAAATAACAACCATCCTGACAAATTCCTGCAGCTTGACGTAAAATCTTTAACGAGGAGCTCAGCCCTCCTTCAGGCCAGCCTGGCGAGGTTTCCGGGTGGAAATTATCCTGCTGCACAACACTGGCAAAACCTTGTCTACTCACAGGTAAGATCAAGTGGCACAAAAATATGGGTATGGGGGCTTGTTTCTTTCTCGCCATCTGCCATTTCACCATTTATGCAAAAAGAAGCTTATAGGAACAGAGTACAAGGTGGCTACTCTGTCTTCCAACTTAGTCTTTCTCTCTTCCTTAACATTAGAAACTTTTCTTTATTTATAAAATAAATGAATTCTCTCATTAATTAATTCCCCCTCCAAGCATTAGCTTCTCTGCCTGTCTTCATTTTAAATTTCAGGTGGCCCTCATTTACTCCTTCCCTTCAAAAATTTTCAAAATAATTGTTATATACACAAATAAGACTTTGCGGGAAAAACTCCCATCTCTATCTTTGGTGTACTCTAAGCATAAAGCATCAGAAGTTTACATTGTGGGCATAAACAAGCCTCTAAAACAGCTGGAGGTCTTGCTTCTGCTTCCCTTGGACTAGCTCCCTGTCATAGCATACACAGAAGACTTAGAGAACAGAACAATGGAAACCTAATTATTGAAGGGAAAAAATACAGCGAACTCTCCACCTTGAAAAAGTGCTAGCTATTATTGTAGATATTCTTATTTTCCACAGGTGTCCATGTGGACAAGGAATACCAATTAGACCTTCAAACAAAATGCAGGTTTTATTTCTCTTTTCTTTTGCATTTTCCTTCTTTTCGCTGACCAAAAGAGAAGAATAAAACTGTGATGAGTTCCATCTGCTGGAATAAACATAAAGGCCCTAACTGTTGCACAGCTAATGAAACAGGAATAATCTTTGCTTTAAGACATGAAGGCTAATGGGGTTAAGAGTTAGTCAATTTAGAAACAGGAAGAGGCATTTCATTACAGAACAGATGTGACTGACCTACAAACCCCTGCAAGTCATTAAATCCTTTGGAGTGGCTCAAATTCCCTGAACAGAAATTTGTTTTCTTTTAAGAACAGTTGCTACTCATGAGTCCTGGTGTAAAGTGACTCCTTTGTGGTATGTTTGTGGGCTCCTCGGGACCTTTATCATGAGATCATTCAAAAGCAAGTACACTCAAATGATTATGTAAGTGTTTCCTCCACCTATAAGGATTTTAATTTATTTCCATTGTAAGGCAGCCTATTATGACAACTGGCATTTTTTAAATTTTGCATCAATCTCTTTGGTAATCCTCAAACCCTTCTGCCATTTCATACCCAGCCATGTTGTTGCTGTTGTATTTGTAGATGTGCTTTTTTTTTTAGTTTTAAATGAAATGAAATGAAATTGCTCCTTTTTCCTCCTTATTGTTTATAACATAGAATAAAATGATTCAAAAATCAGTTCAGAAATCTTGGCCCTTCTATGCTATGCAGTTTAGTCTAAGAAAACATATCCAGTAAATTCCTTTGAGGTTGGAACACATTGATCTAACATCTTTTGTTTGGTACTGAAGTTGACCTATTTCCTTCATGTGGAACTTCACAGTTTAAAACTCTGTTGAATGTTGTTCCCAAACCTAAATGAAATGCAAATTTTTAAAAGGCAACTTTTTCTACAGGCCCCATTGGGTGGAAATAGTTATTCAAAGAAAAACCAAAGAGGTAAACTTCTGTTTCATAGGTCTTTGAATATGTGGTGTTAACATTATAAACTTCAAATAAACTTGATTTAGTTATCCTTTTAGCTTAAGAAGAAATGTAGTGAAGGCCAGTGTACTAATTGGCCAATTAATAACGCATGGAGTGGAGAGGCAGGACAGTACATCAAGTACAAATTCAGGTAATCAGGTAGGTGTGGCACAAAGTATGAGTAACAACAACGATATTCACCACTTCATTTTGCAGTGCATCAGTAAATAATTCTCTTTGGGGGATGGATCTTAAAATCCATGATTGATATATTCATTGGATAAAATAATAAATGTCATAGAAATGGCCATATAGAAGTTTTAAATATTTGTCATGATACCACAATACCATTCCATGAAAGAAGACACTGAATATACAAGTATATTGAGGTGTTAGGCACACATAAGGTGGTGGCTACCGAGTAGCTCTTAATTTAAAGCTCTCACTCCACTGGGGAGTGAGGAAGTCAATGGGAAGAACATGGAATAAAGAAATTAGAAACTTGGTTTCTTATCTCAAATTCACAAAAAACCAGTTTTAGAGACATCTATCATGGCCCTTCATTCATGCCTCAGTATTTCCACTTGCAGTATTAGGATAATATTTATTTTACATATTTCCTTAAAAGTGAGAGCAAATGAAATATGAAGTAAAAGCAATTGAGAACCAGATTTTCCTATAAAAGATCAAGAATATGTACATATGTATTGTTATTTATACCAGTATTTCAAAATGTATTAAAGTTATCTTTTCATTAGAATTTATTAGCAAATAATTCCATTTCCATTATTTTATAAATATTGTGGATGAAGGGGTATGTGTATACATGTGCACGTGGTGGTTGAGGGAATGTACTCAATAGATATGTCAACCTGTGTGACTAACCCAAGCAGTAGATATAATAACACATGAAATCTACACAAACTCCAGAGTTGTGTCAACTGATCCTTTCATCCCACACCACACAAGTGCATGGTGTTTAGGATATAGACTACTTTATGGAATGGCAAAGCACTTAACCTGCAGTCATTACCTTCAAACTCAGGGTAACCCAGGAATTAAAACAGACATTCCCTAGATTGGAAATGTCACGTTGAATTCTTAAATATAGGTATCGTTTTACTATCAATGATTTATCATTTAATTTTTAAAATTCACTTTCCATTTTCAGAGGAAATTCTCTTGGCCATTTTTATATGAGCTAAAGCAATACCATTCAATCTATTTTTTTTTTCTGAGACATAGTCTCACTCTGTCACCCAGGCTGGAGTGCAGTGGCACAATCTCGGCTCCTTGCAACTTCTGGAGATTCAAGTGACTCTCGTGTCTCAGCCTCCCTAGTATATGGGATTACAGGCACCCGCCACCAGGCCGGCTAATTTTGTATTTTTAGTAGAGAAGGGGTGTCGCCATGTTGGCCAGACTGGCCTCCAACTCCTGCCTCAAGCTATCCACCCCGCTTGGCCTCCCAAAGTGCTTGACATGAGTCACCATACCTAGCCTCAATCTAGGAAAATAAGCAGTGATGGTCTCAGTTGATTCAGTAACCAGGGACATTGTAATTCCCATCTATGCAGATACTCAGGTCACCCATATGTGCAGAGAGTATACACAGATATTATTTGATTCTATTATATTTATACTATTCGTTAATTCTTTCACCAGAGAAATAAAGAAGCTTCACAACAAATTTTATGTCAGTGCAATGAAGAAACATTCACCAAAATCTAATGTTTCTAACTGTTAAAATAATTTGGGGGATGTCTCTGATGAAGGCATTTAGAAATGTATTCCAAATACTTCTGCCAACCGCTTTATAAAACAAGTAATGAAAAAAAGGCTGATTTTTTAAAAATGTGATAAAATATGTGGTTTTCAAACAACCCCATCAAAAAGTGGGTGAAGGATATGAACAGACACTTCTCAAAAGAAGACATTCATGCAGCCAACAAACATGAAAAAATGCTCATCATCACTGGTCATTAGAGAAATGCAAATCAAAACCACAATGAGATACCATCTCATGCCAGTTAGAATGGTGATCATTAAAAAGTCAGGAAACAACAGATGCTGACGAGGATGTGTAGAAATAGTAAGTCTTTTACACTGTTGGTGGGAATGTAAACTAGTTCAACCATTGTGGAAGACAGTGTGGCAATTCCTCAAGGATCTAGAACCAGAAATACCATTTGACCCAGCAATCCCATTACTGGGTATATACCCAAAGGATTATAAATCATTCTACTGTAAAGATACATGCACACGTATGTTTATTGAGTCACTGTTCACAACAGCAAAGACTTGGAATCAACCCAAATGTCCATCAGTGATAGAGTGGGTAAAGAAAATGTGGCACATATAAACCATGGAATACTATGCAGCCATAAAAAAGGATGAGTTCATGTCCTTTGCAGGGACATGGATGAGGCTGGAAACCATCATTCTCAGCAAACTAACACAGAACGGAAAACCAAACACCACATGTTCTCACTCATAAGTGGAAGCTGAACAATGAGAACATGTGGACACAGGGAGGGGAACATCACACATCAGGGCCTGTCAGGGGTTGGGGGTCAAGGGGAGGGATAGCATGAGGACAAATACCTAATGCATGCAGGGCTTAAAACCTGGAGGATGGGTTGATGGGTGCAGCAGACCACCATGGCACATGTATACCTATGTAACAAACCTGCATGTTCTGTACATGCATCCCAGAACTTAAAGTATAATTTTAAAAAAATTCAAAGGGCAAGAAAGAAAAATGTATGTCTTTTTTTTTTTTTTTTTTTAATCTATTGTGGTGGGCCTTAATTTTCTAATTAGCAGTTGTACATCAGAATATTTTCAGACTAACCCCTTTGTTATATCTTTTCCTGGCTTCTATCACATCAGTTTCAGAACCAAGGAGCATTCCAAACTAAACCCGTGAGATGGAGGGAAAGGCTAAGGGTGAGAGGCTGCTCTTCCACTGATTTCTAGACAATGTCATTTACTGAATGTATTTCCTAATCACCTTTCTGCACTCTTTTCCAATCCAATCACACTCTTTTTTTCCCATAAATTTCAATGTCTTTCCTTTTTATCATGGGTTTTTTTTGTGTATAACTGTATTTCTTCTATCTCTGAACACACGTCATGCCTTCCTAAAACTGTCTCTATTTTCAATCTTCCATTTATTATTTTGAAAAAGACAGTGCAGGGACCGGGTGCTGTGGCTCACACTGTAATCCCAGCACTTTGAGAGGCCAATACGGGCAGATCACTTGAGGCCAGGAGTTCAAGGTCAGCCTGGCCAACATGGCAAAACCCCATCTATACTAAAAATATAAAAATTAGTCTCGCGTGATAGCATGGCCTGTGATCCCAGCTACTCAGGAGGCTGAGGCATGAGAAACACTTGAAGCTGGAAGGC